AGATAGAAATTGATTCTACAGACCATCATGTTATGTTTCTACTCTCCAACTGTTCTTCAACTCTCTTCACTGCAATAGAAATGCTACGTATAAATATCTCCCTTGTATGAATAACAATAATATACACATATATTTCATATACAACCATATTAGTTTAATCACACGTTATGCGTACACACCATGCAATTGCTTTTTCGCCATTGTGTCCGAAGGAAGCAAGGAATCAACACATCTGTAATCTTATTTCTCGTGCCGGACTAAGATCTTGTACAATTAATTAGAATTTCCGGCTAAGTCTAGTCTAGACAACAAAAAACAAGCCTAGTATTGTTCTTTTCTCTGCCTTCCAACTACAAGATTGGCATCATTTGCAGCATTGGAAATCCCTTCAAGATAAAGCAACGTAGAAACCGCTTTATTCCTCTGATTCATGGACCAAGCAAAGGTAACCTTGTCAGTTGTTGTCTCTCTCTGTATTATCTTCCTATCTATAAATTTCTCTTCACAATCTTCTCCACCTCTCACACAAGACATCCCTACATCTTCTTGCTGATCTCAGTAGGGCTGAGCTATCTAGTGTTACACTGAAACCAGCAAGGAAGTAGGACAATGTCGACGGTCACTTCTTGCACCCTTCTGAGCCTCGGGTCCGCAGTGCGTCCGGCAGTCTATTCCTCCGGGAGACCAGCAGCGGTGGGGGTGGCTTCCCTTTCTTCCCAGAGGACGCCCCGGCCCCTTTCTGTGTGTTGTGCGACCAGCCAGAAAGGGGATCACAACCCAAAGACGGATTTGCATCCATTTAACATCCCTGCCTTCGGTGAGCCCGCTCGCCGATACATTTTCTTTTCTGGTTCAATGCATGCATGCGAATATATATCTTGCATTATAGTTAGTAGTGTATTTCAATCCAACACTATAAGGCATATTGTAACATGCGTCGGTATATATGGTGAAATGACAGTTCTGGTGCACCCGGTTCCACCACGTGAGGAACGGTGGCAGCTGGAGGAGGACGCCGAGAAGGTGAACCTGTGGTTCGAGGTGCCTGGGCAGTCCCAGTATGACCTCGCCGTGGAGATCGACGAGGACGTACTCGTCATCAAGAAGAAGGTCCATGTCGTCGGTGGGGACGTGGGGCAGCGGAGCCCTGGCGGTGGCGTCACGGATTATGCTCCCCAGCAGCAGACCCGAAGGGGCGCCACGGCGACAGAAGCTAGCAAGGAGGTGGCGGCACAGCAGGGCGGCGAGGTGATCTACGCCCGGATGCTCCTCCCGGCGGGGTACAGCAGGGAGGGCGTGGAGGCGGAGCTCAAGTCCGGCGTGCTCAGGGTCACTGTCGCCAAGATCAAGGAGCGGGCGCGCAGGAAGATCGACGTCAGCATTCAAGTCAAGTAGAAGCATACATGAATTGAAGGAGTGCTTTTGATTTGTGCGATGTCCAACAGGCTACTGCGCGCGGTCCGGCGATCTCGATCACGTACTCGATCGCGTAGACCATATATATATTATGTTCATGGGCTTTGTGTTCCCATGTACTTCAATCAATAAAATAAAATGAGCACCTGTTGTTGTTCTTCACGCAAATACAAATATTGTTCCTTTTTTTTATGAGGAACCGACAAGCAATCTTTTTTCCCAGATATATGCTACTATATATTATACTCACAGCGTAAGAAACAGGCTAAGGATTATGAAAAAAAAATGTTGTCATGGCCCTGCTGTACACTGCTGTACAGGTGAGACCCAATCTTACAAGAGCACTTATCAAGATAGAGCAACCAGATCATGAGATTGACAAAGTTATTATAGCACCCGCTGTCAACGGGAACACAGCTTACAATTGAAAGAATTGCACCTTAAATTAAAAAAAAAAATTGAGAGAAAAACTTCGGTTAAGTTGAGAAGCTAAACCTGGGTATACAAGTTTCACCATAAGAAGCCTACTTCCTCCGTCAAAAAAAAAAGCGCAATCCTAGCTTTGAACCTGGACAAACGCTTTGTCCAGGTTCAAAACTAGGATTGCACTTTTTTTTGGACGGCAGGAGTAACCAACAACAGAGTGTTTTTCCATTTTTCCAATAGACATGTTGATTACTTTCAGCACTTTTGAAGGATGGCAGAATTTCTCTTAAAGTGTGAAGACAAGTAGGTGACCAGTTTGATTATTGTGTTGTCCCGTATATGAGAGTTTGTTGCAAGATTTTTGCCCCCTCATCTATGTACCCATTGATTCAATTCTCAATAAGCATGATCAACAACACCTAGTGGCACTTGATAATCGATTAAACCATGATTTTTCCCTCTTCATTGTACGGCTATCGATCCTAAATACACTCACATCCTCTATGGTGTTTTGAGTGCCAAAACAAAAACCTATTTGATACCTTTGTCTTGATCAACCTTGGGTTTTTATTTTTCTCTCTTCTTTTCAAGTTGGAGCTTGATCACCATCATCACATGTACATCTTCATCTCCATGGACTTCATCTTGCTCCACCACTTGGCTTGGACCATCCTATCTTGTCTACACACTTAACTCAAGAATTAGTCCAATGGGTTTCATCAATTAGTCAAAACCAAACTAGGGCTTTCAACCTTGCCAACACGGACGTGGGTGCAGCACTGCCCTACCACTCATGGCTGCCTCAACCTAACAGAGTAGGGGAGGCATGATCACAACAATTCTAGATCTCCTATGTGCAGAGCAAGATCAAATGTAGCAGCGGCCTCAGATGGATCCAATAGGCGTTTGCCTACTCCTCTCCCTGCTTTTGACATTCGGATACATCGATGACCTCTACCCTCATCTCCCCTCGATCCCTTCTTTGCAGATATGGTCCAATCCAAACACGTGGAGATCGGGGATGGCCACGGAGAGTGGCTCGCCTCAAGCGAGATGGTGCCTTGATTAGGCAAGAGAGAGGGGGTTGCTCAAGTGTGGTCATAGGCACTAGTTCAAGTAGGCACCATACATCTTCCTCAAACATTGTGTAAGGCATATGGGGCTATGGTGGTGTGTACAACTTGTGTTCTTGCATGAGTGGCATGCTGGTGCTGTTATCACTCATTGGGCAAGCAATGGGATTTTCTTAATTGGTTTTCTTAGATGGGCTAATGTCCCAGCCTCTCCTATTTCCTATTAATTAAGGCAACTTCCTAGAGATGGGTGAGCGGCCTGCTCATAACATGTTATTTGCTTCCCTTTGTAAACCTTAATTTAGAAGTGTGCACTCATGCTAAGGGTATAAGTTCTAAAGAATGAGTTATTCATGTAAGCTAAACTAGTTAGAATTCTTGTGATGGGACTTTACTAGCATGATAAAAGTTGACTAGAATAGTAATGTTTTATAGATATGGGCAAAATAGGTTAACCGAGACATGCACTACACCGCCTCTGCTTCAACGTCTGTGTTGATCCTGATTTACAAAGACCGTTGTGCATGAACACCACTTTTAATCCAAATAAAAAACAAAAAAACGCAGCCCCAAATGTGCAATCGAGCCTAGGCCTCGATCTAGGTTGCTGAGGCATCACCACGATGTCGATACGATCGAACACCACTGCCACACCGTCAATCCACATGCTGCTGCCACGCAGTTGATCTGCATGCCACTACCATGTCGTGCTTTGCCTCCTTGCCACCACGCCATCCTCTCTCTTCACTATCAGGCCATCCTCTACCTTCCCCTGCCCTCCCCCCCTCCCCTTACCTCCTTCATGATGTCCTCTCTCCCTGTACCCTCGTCATCCATCCTGCCACACCTGTGAGGAGGAGAACAGTGAGAGAAAAATTGAGAGGAAAGGAAATAGCTATCATCTTCTCACATTGGGGAGCACCACCACATATCCTAGAGCTACATGTGTTGAGGAGAAGATTTGGCACCGCCTTTCACTAGATTCGCCTCAGCCTCAGCCCTAAGCGCTTTGGAGCCGCAGGTAGATGACCTTGGGTCATGAATAGCCAATGCCGTGGGGGTTGGAGTTTGGCACCGTAGCATAACTGGAGAGGAGAAGAGCCGGTGAGGATCTACTGCCACTTGATTTGGAGGAGGCTAGAAAAGGGAGGGCCTTGAGTGCCACTACTGGAGGGGGGCAGGCTCGGAGTACTGCTGTTGTAGTGGAGCAGGCCTCTAGCGCCACTGTCAGAGGGGTGCACCGCCAGTCTCAAGATCCACACACGCAGAGAGAGAGAGAGAGAGAGAGAGAGAGAGAGAGAGAGGTGGCGTGTGTGGCTGCTGATGGGAGGAACGAAGGTACGGAAGGTTGAAATCAATTAATAGAGACGGGCCTGTTAAAAAGTCCACCTCTAAAAATAGCCCTCATTTTCACTCAGAGGCGGTAGTGTCTATGAAATAGCCCTCTATTAATCCTGAGGCTTCTTCTGAAATCAAGTCTGTAGTAGTGGTTAAGCTCAAGTTTCAGAGATGATGCCTTTCTCATAGCGCAGCAAGATGTTGTCTAACCTTTAAGTGCGGGTGATTCTACTATAAAACAGACGAACCACACCAATACATGAGTGTAACTAGAATACATTAGTGTAGGTGTAGCTAGTGTATATATATATAGAGAGAGAACTTACGAAGCAAGATAATGACAAGAACAAATGGAACGAATCAAGATCTCCCTACTCTTGAAGCAAACCGAGCAAAGCAAAAAAGAAGAGAAGCAAACACCATTCATTTGGTCCACACTACTCAGAAAGGCCTGCAAGATCGGCATCCTTCCACCTTGTCTCTGAAGCATCAAATTAAACTTTTCGTACCAGAACAAAGCGGGCTTGCCAGACAACCCGGGCCGCTTTATTCCATCATAACCCGAGCAAGCAAAGGCCACCATTAGCATTTCTCACTGGTGTCTCTCCCTATCCATCTGTCTATTTATATAGACGCTCTTCTTTGACACCATACATATATGAGTACTATAGAACTCTCCAAGTACGCAAGAATTAGCATGCATTAAGATCTCTCCCATTCCTATCTCTTCCACACTAGTGTTGACAAATGTCGACGATTATGGGGTCTTACACCACTGCAGTGAGACCATCGCCAGTCCTGCAGACTTCCTCTCTCTTGCTAGCCCGTGGTTCCTGGAGGCCCGCGGTGGCATTGCGGCCTTCTGCTACCGTGAAGTGCCGACGGCGGGCACTCACCGTGACGTGTGCACTCCCGGAGAAAGAACGGCCACCGGCATTCAGCATCCCGCCCACTGGTGAGTAGAGTACATGTATGCTTTCCATTTCCTCAGCTGGTGGATCAGGAATTCAGCATCGCTGACGAGAGCATGCGTTGCAGCTCTGCTGTGCCCCGTGCCCCTGCCAGACGGGAAGGAGCGGTGGGACATCAAGGAGGAGGATGACCGCGTCACGCTGTGGCTCCAGGTGCCAGGGCTGTCGGCGAGCGACATCGAGGTAACCACCAGCGAGGACGTCCTCGAGATCAAACGCAGGGTCACCGCACAACAGCCGGCGCTTCCTGGGGACGCGCACGGCGTGGGCGCGTTCCACATCCGGCTGCTCTTGACCAAGGAGTACGACGGCAGCAACGTGACGGCCGACCTCAACGCCGGCATGCTGGAGGTCACCGTCCCCAAGAACCCGCAACGACCCGGCGAACGCGTCGTGCTGGGGGCGCCCAGGCCCAGGCCCACGCCCACGCCACGCCCACGCCCCGTGGAAACGAGAACAGTACCAGGAAAGGTCCTCCTCAACCACAGCAAGAAAGGAAACCGGAACAAACCCTGGGGAGACAAAATACAAATGGATCGTCGTTCTAGCTGGCCGAGGGCTTTGCAGTCACTCCCGCTCGGACCCTGCTTTTCTTCTGTGTTGAAATAAGCCTCTCATTTCTAGCTCCGGGTGGACACAAACCAGCAATCGGCTTATGTTGTATCAATTGCCTGGAGAGAGCTTACGCTGTTGTAGTATCTTGTGTGTTTCCTTTAAAAACCTTTTTTGTTTCTTTATTACTCCCTCCATTCCCAATTAAAGTCGTTTTGATCATTTTGTTATGTATTTAGATATAGTACATTTCATTTTGCTATCTATCTAGATATAACATATGTCTAGATACGTAACAAAATCGACTTATAATTTGGAATGGATGGAGTATAATAACAAAATCGACTTATAATTTGGAACGGAGGGAATACAAGTGTTCTGGGCACCGAGTGGTCGTCGGGATTCTCCCATCGTCAAAGGTCCTCCTCCTCTATTAAAAAAGTTCTGATCAAGTGGACTTGGGCTCGAGATAATTGGGAGAATTTTGAAGCTCTGTGCCAACGCTTTCCAGCATCTCCTGCATGGGGATCGGACCTGCGCAGCCCACTGGACTTCGTAGGAATAATCGGCCCAAGTCCACAAGCGTGTGCATCTCCAGCCCAAATTGGTCCATTCTGGGTAGAGAACAGAGAAAGAAGAGATTGTCCCACACAGAGAATATAGGGCCTGGTTGGGTAGCCAGCCTGGTCTGCTGGAGCCAACTTGGGCTTGTTTGGTTCCCTGTTCATGGGCTTTAGCCAGGCCAAAGCTGGCCTGCGTGCGCGCGCTGGCCTGGCTCCAAAAGAACGGATCGGCAATCTATTTACCTAGGGCTTGGCTTGGCCAGCGCTCGGCGTGGATTCGCGTCACCTCCGGAGTGGACGAGGACGACCCCCACGAGAGCTCCGCCCGTGCTCCCGCCGGCCACCGCCACATGAGCTCTGACGAGGTCCGCCAGCGGCCACCACTCCAACCAAGCTCCCATCGGCTCCGCCAGCTCGCGAAGCTCCGGCCTGTGCTCTCGCGGCCACCACTGCTCCGGCGAAGCTCCGACCATACTCCACCACCACGCGAGCTCCTCCTCTCCCTCAGTCACCACAGTGTGCTTCGCCGGCGTCCGGCGGCTATGCCCCCCCCGGCCCGCTCATCCATCTGCTACAGGAATGGGAACGACAACGGCGAGTACTTTCTCAAGGGCTCCTTGCTCCTCTTCCATCATCCACCGGCACCGCACCAGGACGCCTCCTCCTTCACCTTCAGCCAGGACAAGAGGGCCGCCGCTACCGCAAGAACTGGAGCACTAGACATGGAGGCGAGCTCGTTACAGGTGATGCCCACAAAGTGTTTGATAGAATGTGCGATAGGGGTGAAGTTACCAGGAAGAAGATAAGATGATTCTATGCAAGCCAAGTCAGGGAACCAAACACACACATTCTAATCCAGGCTTAGATAGTCCATGCAACCAAACAAGTGCATGTTGGCTTGCTGGGACCATGATAAGCCTAGCCAGATTTCAATCCTAGCCAGGCTTCCACAGAGACAGGGAACCAAACAGGACCATAGAGTTCTAAATTGCCTAAGCTTGGTAGAGAATCTCTTACAAGACGAAATCTGCACCAACGACTTAGCATATTATTTTGCCATGTGTCCTTCGAATCTCTATAATACGATCTCCACCGGTTTCATTGGTTTCGAAACCTCGCGAATCTTCTCGGTGCATCGGCCCGTCCGCTCATCATTCGGCGTCTTCTCGACGCGTATGTCCATTGCTCGCTCGGTGTCAATGAGCAAGGCGGCAGCGAAGGTGGCCGTCGCAGACCACCAGTGCTAGCATGGTCCACCGACAACCCCTCTCTCGCGCCTTGCACTCAAGCTCCACAGCCCGGGCAACAAGGCCCTCTCCATCTCCTCGCGCTCCACCCCGATCGACCTCCGATCAATAGCTGCCTGTTGCCGTCTACTGTCTGAGGCAGCCCTGAGGCACAAGCAGCAGCAACGTCGTGGCCCAGGTAGAAAAGTGGCCTGACAATGACAAACAGCTGGTTCAGTCCGATTCAGGTGCCAATTCAGGTACTTACTCAAATAGAACCCCTATTGATTTGCTAGTTGATAAGGTAAATATCCAGCCCACTCAATGCTAGGCGTAATGAGGATAAGGGCCTCCAAAAAACTTCTTTTCGTTCTATGAACTTTAAGGTGTATGAAGTCTCATAGTAAACTCTTGCAGCGGAACGATAGAGACTCCATTTCACTTAGGTTGATTTAATTTAGGCCGGAGGCAGACCTAAGTCAAGGTAATCCTTCTTTGAAACACTTTGGTATTGTTCCTAGATAGATCATAAGACAAATAATCAATCAGAGCACAGGGAGCCATCTTATTATCTTTCCCTAAAGAAAAACTATGGCGAATTAACTGATCTTTACATCAGTTGATGAAAGAGCCCAATGCAGAAAAATGCATGTTGGGTCTTTGAAACAGTTCGAATCATTTCGATAATAATCCGTTTGATTCCGGTGAATCTCCGCAGGGATTAACGCGGCCGCTTCTTCATGGGCGCCAATGTCATCCACGTGGACCTCAGGTATTTGATGGGTTTGATTATTTGATGTTAATGCCAACTTGTGGAGCTCTGATTAATTTGGAGAGGTATCCTATACGTTGAATTGATTTGCAAAGGAAGACGAATACTCTTCGTTGGCTCCAATTGTCCAACATGACTAGGAGAGAACAAGAGAGAAAAGATGTGCTTAGTGGCAGTAAAAATCATCTTCAATCTATTTGTATGACCCAATACCAAAAAAAAATCAGCAAACTAACTCTAACAGACCAACTAGCAAGCTCACAAAACATGTAATTTTTGGAAGTGATTGAAACTATTGACTGGGAGGAAATTATGCCTTAGTATTACATATGCTTTTCTATATAATCTCACGAAGTATATATGATATATTTGCCTAACAAGAACTAGCTTGGATGATGCCTTTGTATAACTTTCTTCTTCTGAATGTTACTTGCCCTCGCCCAATATGCTTGATACTCTGATTCTGCTTTTGCTCCTAGTACTACTACTGCTGTTTTCTTGGACCTTATATCTCCATGTCACTTGCTAAGAAGCTTGAATGTACATATGATTCGACAAGCCAAGCTGGATAAGTAATCTTCAGTGATCGCACATATATGTAAAATGCTTGAGTTCCTTGAGAAGAAGAACAGTACTTATAATTATGTTTAATCCAGTTCATAGTTATACAGATACATGACATAATTCACTTCGTGTGCAGACTAACATTGCTTATATAATCTAATTCGCTCATTTATCTAATTGATAAATATAACGCATCGTGCTTGCCAATTGCATATACCCATCGTTGTCTTATATAACCATAGAGAACTTGTTTCCTCTCTTTTCTTTTCTCACTGGTAACTACTTTCAACTGTTATGCACAGGGGGAAATCACGTTCTCAACTTTGAAGTGTTTTTGACTCCATAGTTTGAAATTTTTCTGTTCAATTCAGTACATGTACTTATCAAAACCATATCTTCATCAGCATCCTTGCGAAGTTACCATAAATGAAACACCTGAATGCTCTGGTAGTTCCAAAATATTCTAATTAACATATAATTTACTTTATCTTATTGATAGCACGCTACTACTTTATTAGATTGCCATTGGATGACTGTCATCTAACGATTCACATTGTTGGAATATACACTCACAGTGACATTACAACGAGTTTAGAAGGCTAGCCTGAGCTGGCGCGGCAACGCCGCGCCCAAGGTTTTCTACTATAGAGTTCTAAATTGCCTATGTTTCGTTAGCAAACAATCCATGTGTAATCAGAACAATCAAATTCTCTATAGAAGCATTCCTCATCTGAATCCTTCCTGATCTTCTATTCTAACGCTTCCCCAAGTTCAGAGAGCTAACAACTATCTACTGGTCTCCACACGTGAAAGCGTCGATTCAAATTTGAATCTACCAAAATGAATATGTAAGATCACCACCAGAGACATAATATTTAATTGATAATGTTCGGCTTTTAGCAATTTTTTTTTCTGTAAAACAGCTCGGAAGATCGTTGTTTGGGCCCAGAAGCTTTTAATGACTTTTGAGCACATCTTCTAAAAATTCCACAGGCAACGTCTTTCACTTCTTTGAGCTCAATTTTTCTGTGATTGGTTTTTGTGTGCTCCTAAGTCAAAAATATCAAAAAATAAAAGAAGAAAAACGACATCACTTCCGGTTGATAGCACAACCTGGGTATCATTGCTGGTTCGGAGGCATAACCGGCAGTGATGCTCTTAGATCACTGACGGGTGATGTTTTGAACCAGTAGTGATATACAGTAAAAGCCTTTATTTCTCTAGATGTGACTTGGTTTGACCGGAGTCTGACCCATTCATCCCTAATCTCTCATCCTTGTCTCCCTTATCATAACCAGTTTTACCGAAAAGAGAGGTGTCCTAGATGTATAGACTGTGGCGTCCCCGTCCAAGTCCTCGGCGTTGCATGGAGTTTGTTGGTGACTGAGGTCGGAGCTCCCTCTCATTACATGCAATAAATGTAAGAAGTGTGCTGGAGTTCGCGGTAAGGAAGGCAGGTCTGAACTATGGCCAAGTCTTCTAAAAAGTGTATGTATCACAAGGTTAGATCTTGTTGGCCGTTTTTTATGGTTTCTAACCTTGTGATAATTTTGATTCGAATTTTAAGATTTGATGATCTAATTTTAGTTGGATGATAGTGGATGCGAAGGGTAGTATTGGAAGGAAGAATATGTTCAGCCGTTTTTTATTATGGTTTCTACTTTCTAGCCTTGTGTTGATTTTGACTCGAAGTTCATGATTCGGTGTTCTAATTTTAGTGGGATGATAGTGGATGAGATGGAAAGTATTTGAAAGTGCAATCAAGCCCTAATTGTGGGTTTTGGTGATAATGACCACGCAATTAGAGAACTAATGAGATTTATCGAGATGACAAGCAGAAAATTTATATTCGAGGATGCTACACGAAACGGAGGAGTCCCCAATTACAAATGTAGATGGCTTCAAACTCAAAGGAGATTTAAATTCTTTTAC